CCCAGGCCATAAGCAGGGAGCCTGACACAAAATGTATTTTTCATGATAAATTATAGGATTAATAATTGGCTAGATTTAAAAATATAACTATTTGAGTTAAATTCTGAAGAAATATAGAAATTGGAATAATTATTCGCTGAATAATTATTCAATCAGTCTTCTGCTTTTGACACAGATGGTATATGGGCAGGTGAAGTTGTGCTCACTGGAAACATTTCCTTTTACCAGTGTCCTCTAGGGATGGCTCAGGAAGTTTCATTTTTGAAACTCCTTCTCCCCTCCCATAGCATTTGTACCATTTTCATTTGATGACTGGCAGACTGAATGTTTTAAAGCAAGGGGGTTTTAGGGCAGGTTTTATGGCAAAATGTACTGGCATCTTGTGTGGGCTCCAGTTTAAGCCTTGGGTGCTCTACTTCCAATCCAGCTCCCTGCTAATGGTCTGAGAAGACAGCCAAAGATAGCTCCATGGGAGACCTGGAAGAAACTGCTCGCTTTGGACCAGCTCAGCTCCAGACATTAGAAACCTATTGAGGACTGAAGTGGTGAATGGAAGATATCTATATCTCTCTCTCTCTTTCTCTGCCTCTCCTTAACTCTGCCTTTTAAGTAAATAAATAAATCTTTAAACAACAACAAAAGCACAACAGTCAATGCGCTGGTTTCTCTTCAGAGTGAATAAATCTTTCGCCTTTTACTAAAAAGTACAAGAGTCATTGGAAGATGGAGAAAATTATCGTGTTTCTGGATTGGTAGAATCAAACTTATCAAAATATCCATATTGCTGAAATATAATACACATATTCAATATTATCCCAAACAAAACCCAAAACCTTCTCAAAAATCAAAAATGTAATACACAAATTCACCTGAAAACACAAGAGACAATGAATATCCAAAGCAATCATGAAGATTAAAAATAAAACTGAGAGAATCACAGCTACCATCCTCAAAACGCACTACAGGACAGTGGTAATCAAAACAGTTTTGCAATGGTACAGAAACAGAGAAGAAAATCAATAAAGCAGAAAAGAAATGACAGAAGTGAGTCCATATATGTACAGCCAACTCATCTTTGACAAGAGAGCTAAAACTAATCCATGGAAAAGGTTGGGTCTCTTCAACAAATGCTGTTGGAGCAATTAAATAGCACCCTGCCAAAGTAAATACAGGATTCCCATTTGTTACCTTATCAGGTACATATTGTCACACATCTCATGGATATCAAGATTTGAGATTAGCTTGCCGATGAGTCATTTGCTTTACTGTAAAGAACATCGTTGGCTGTACTGTGATGGAAATTGTAACAAGGAATAACATCAAAAATATCCAAGATTAAATATCTTCTCTAGAGGTAGCCAGAAAATCAGATGGATAGAAAAAAATATGGTGTGTAAACCAAACAAGTGATGCAATTCAGACCCTGCATCCAAGGTATAAAATTTCGACCACCATCAGAGAGAGGGATGAGGAACATTGTCACAATGAGAAGAGTTGATTGTAAAACTGTCCAGTTGGAAGTGCAGGCAGAGGAGATGGCTGGAAGTGAGGACTCTCCCTGGAAATAAGCCATACCAGTGAAACCGGTTTAATGCAATACAGAAAGTAATTGACAAATATAGTCTTAATATTTAATGCACATCATTAATGAGATTTATTTAATTAATAGTTGTATGACTCCTGAAAGGAAACTAGTAAAGCTCAGAAGTTATACCTAAGCCTGTAGATGGTTATCTTTTCCAGATGCTTTGTCTTTGTTCACTTTTATGTCACAGTCTTTCAAGAAATATTCATCTCCTAAACATGAAAGCTATCCATGAAAAAAATACTCTGTGTAAAAGAAAAACAGTGAGTGGTTCAAGTGGTTCTTTCAATCTTAAGAAAGATTGTTGAATGTGTGAGGCTTGGTGGAACTGTTGTGCTATTACACCTGAAACTATTTAATAAAGATATAAATTGATACTATAGTAATTATGTAATGCATACTTACACACAGAAGAACAACATGCATGTTGTCTAATTGTGTTTTCCTGTACCAATTACTCTCTCTCAAAACAGAAATTAAAATGCTTTAGTAATGCGTACCTGCTGTGCCATGTTTTCCATATTATTTCAGCTTACATTAAAAATTAAATAAAATACTATTCATAAAATTTCCCAGAATATCAAAACCTATAATAGAATAGGCTTTGGATAGTTAGAAGGGATCCAGTCACCCTTACAAGATTTCAGATTTGCTCATCATGTAATTTTCTCCATAAAATGTGGACAAAACTAGAGTACCACAAAATCAGATCAAGATGTAGAAGCTTGGCAGTTGCTAGGAATATGTCTTGAAGTAGTTCCCAGAAGCTCTTACAAGAGCATCATAATTTCTCATTCAAATACGTTTCATGGAAAAATCAAATTGCAATACCGGGGTCTTCAAAAACAGTTACAAAAAAATGAATGCTAGATACCTGTTCAATATATTCTTAAAAGGTATTTATTTATCAGAGAGAGAAACACACTGAATGACACACAGGGAATGCTCTCTTCTACCGATTTTTTTCTTTAAGTTCTGTAATATTCAGGTTCAAACCCTTCTAAAGTCAGCCAAGATTTGGAAATAATTTGCCCATTAATGAATAATTGGATAAAGAAATAAGAAAATCAATCCTTTGCAGACTTAAAACTTCATGATCCTGACATTTGTAACAACATAGATAACTCTGAGGACATTGTGCTGAGTTTACCAGATGCTCATCAGCTCACTTATGTGCACAAATAGTGTATGATCTGTTCTGTATTCAGAATTTGAAAATCAATGAAATACATAGAAACAGGAAGCAAAACAATATTACAAATATGGAAAGTTGTTGCAGACAAGGGGATGTAGTATCAAAAAGTCTAAAGATATGACATACAGCATGAAAACTGTTCCCAATATCATTATATTGCCTATTGCAAATTTACAGAGGAAGTGCATTCCAGGTGCCCATACCACACAAAGTGAGAAGGGATCACTGTGAGTGAGATGACCGATGTATCAATTGGCTTCACTATTAATAAACATTTTAACTGTGCTTAATACATGTAAATAATTAAGGATACTATGTTATATATACACATATATATGTATACATGTACATATGTGCATATTTATAAGAACTGGTGCAGGCATTAGATTCAGCAGTTAACACATCGCTTGACATATGTGTGATTGAGATATCTGATAAGTTGAATTGAGTCCTGACCCTACTTCCAATCCATTTTCCTGCTAGTACATAAATTTGGGAGATAGAAAGTTATAGTTTATAGTTCTTTAGTCCTAACTTCAACCAGGCCCAGTCCTGGCTGCTGCAGGCATTGAGGAGCAAACCAGGGAATGAAACTCTTTGTCTTTATCTCCACCTTACACACACACAAAACAGCTTTTTCTCCAATATGATAAAAATCCTTTTGGTTAATCTACTTGGAAGTAGATTAAAATAAAATTTTCAAATGGATTACAGCACACTTTAATTCAAACGTGTACATTATTAATTAAAATTAACAATAAATTAAATCATATGCCTCATTTTCTCCAAAACTCATCAAATCCCTTTTATTATAAGGCTTGATCTAACATGTTCTAAGTAGGAAGGGCCGTGGCTGGAGCTATCACATATTCTGAACAGTGCAGTCTTGCTGCTCACATCATCAGACACCAGAGGATTGGGCATCCTTGGAATACCTGAACAGTGCTGAAAGCTGTAGCAGAGTAGTAAAAAAAAGTTAAAGTTTTAACATCTCCTCTTTATTTCAAGTTAAAGAGGATTGAAATAACATCATTTTTCTACAATGTTCTTAAGTTGTAGATGCAACATTGAGAATCATGTAATGTACTTTTGTGAAATTTGTACATACATCTCTTCCTTTTGCAACCTTTGTTTTTATTTTGCTTTGTTTGGAATTGGATTGCATAAGAATCTGTATTAACCTTCCAACTTTAAAATATTGTTTTTACGGACCCAGTAATCGCAACGACCAGCATATGCATAGGCTGATTGGTGTGACGAACAGTGTTGGAGTCTGTACTAGCAAACTCACTCAAGAATCAGATCTGGGATCAACTCAGATGAAGTTTCTTTGGATATTTCTCCAACTGAACTGCTGATCTTGGAACCCCAACCATCAAGAGACTGTCAGCCAGTGGACTCTGAATAGGTTTCATTACGGTTGGGACGGAGAGATTGGCAGCAATCCAGAACTGATGAACTATCAAAACTGTATGAGCAGGACCCTTGGAGCGCGCCTCATGTTGGGGATGGGGGATGGGTGGGAGGTAGGGTGGGGCTTTACCCTTTGTTACTCCCCTAACCCTACATACAGGGCAAAATGATTATATTAGTGTGGAAACAATGATATTACCCACTTTCACCCTGTAGCCCGTGACCCTTTGTACCCTAATAAACTAAGATTATTAAAAAAAAATATATTGTTTTTAATCAAAGTTTTTAATAGATTATGAATGCATTTCTGATACTCAAGTGATGATTCCTAACAGTGTTAGACATTGCTTGTAAATTGACCAGTTTCATTTTTGTTTCTTCTGGCATGCAAATAAGATATATTACTCAGTCTTTCCTGCACTATTGAAATTGATTTTAGCCCCAACAAGGTTAAGCAGAGACATTAAGTGGGCTGTTTTTCAAACTGGTCCATAAACTTCCCATCAATACTCCGTATTCCTTCTCTTCCCAGCTGAGAGTCTAAATGATCACGCAACCTTCCTGACCAAAGAAGAGGCACAGTGGGAAGAGAGGCCTCTGTCTGCCAGGCTGGCTGCACAAGAAGGCTGGATGGCCCATCGCCATTTCCCCTTTGTCCCTGTGAAGGACGTACTTATATCTTTATAATAAGCCACAATAAATATTTCAATCTATGCTTTCATAATTAGATAATAGTGGTGATGTTAACTTTTGCTCGTCATTGAAACATTAATAAATCATTGGTGTTCTGTCTTTAAGAGAATAGTCAGACTTATCTGGCAGGTGGCATACCATGATCACAAGGGTGATTTTCCAGATGAGGCTCATCCGTTGCGCTCCAGATGTGTTGACCCCTGCAATTTCCCCAGGCATGGGAAACTCAGCTGCATAATTTCTGGTAGTTAGGGACTGCATTCACACTTTCCCATTTGGGGAAAAAAAAAAGAGAAGAATAGTCAAATACAGTAATAGTGTTATTTCCATAGGAATGAAGGTAAAAAATAATGTGGGCATTTTTCTAAGAAGGTGTTCTTTGAAATGATTGCTTCTTCAAGACTACTCAAAACTCATGCTTACTCATCACACAAAGTGAAGAAGATTTTCATTCTATGTGACTTAAAATTGCCACCTGTTGTAATATGGAATAGGTATGTGCTTTACACCGTCGGTTTAGCTCTAACATTTTCCTTTACCCTTTCTCCAAACACCAAATCTCACACACACACACACACACACACACACACACACACACACACACACACATCTAGCCTGTGCAGAATGTGTGTATTGGAAGAACCATTGGGATTAACTTCTCATTTTAAGAATTTTAACCATTTGGAAGCGAAACTTGAACATGTCACCCACCTCATAATCACTACAAGGATCCACAATTCATGTATTTCAATTTAATGCTCTTTTACTGTTGCTCATATGTACTAGATTTATTTTTGCTTATTCATTCAGCTGAATTCAGTTTTTACTGAACTCAAAGCAAAGAAATAAGGAGAGCACAGAAAGCTATTATATATGGGTAAACAGCGGGATACACAGGATTGACCTGAGTCAACTTAGACATTCAAAATCTAATTTTAATTCAATTGCAATCGATAGTCAGAGATTACATACAAATGTATCCTACAAGAAAAAAAAAACACAAAGAATATCACCTTGCTGCCTGCATTAAAGCAATATGTTTAGAGCCACCCTCATACTGTTTATTACTGACTAAAACTTGAACTAACATAGGTTTTTTAAAAGTCTACCAGTATGAAAAAATGGAATCCGTGCTTTGTCCAGTATTTTTTTCAATAACCCACTACTAGAAACCAAACCAGGAGACAGAAGCATCCTTGCTGTTCTTTCCTAAAAGTATCCACTAATCTTTTAATTAAAAATGAATGATAGGGAGATGGCAAATGAGCAAAAGAAGCAGAAAAACACAGGTCCCTTATGTATTTGTGCAGCCCTAATCATTCTTCACATCTCACAAATATGATCTGTATTAATTACATGGAATCCTACCCGTTCTATTAGAGCTGATGCTATCGACCACCGTGGTTTGCTATAGTCCATTGTGCTTGCGGATGGTTTCACCAAACCCACAAACTTGAAGAGAAACTTCCAGGAAAGGCTTAAGTACTACAGAATTAATAACATTTTAGAAGGAAGTTTAATGTGTGTGGGGGACTTAAATCACGGCTGTTCCTAGAATTCTCCAGACAGCACTTACTGGATTTTCTCTTTCAGTTCATCAAGTTGCCTTTTATTTTAGACATAAAAGCATTATCTAAACTATATTACAGAGATACCTGCCAACAAATTTTTAAAATCAAGAAACAAATGAAAATGATGCATATTAATCTCAACAAAGCAATAACGTACAGTGTTGAACACTCTTAAATGTTAGACACTAAGCCAAATATATGCCATAATTATTTGTAATGATCTCAAACCTAGTGCATTGTAGCTTTTTAAAATAGATACATATATATTATACATTTATTTATTTGTTTGTTTTATTTATGGAAAGGCAGGCTTGTAGACAGGATAGACAGAGAGAAAGATCTCCTATTCCATTCTTTAGCTCACTCCCAAATGGCCACAATGGCTGGCTGGAACTGAGCTGATCCAAAGCCAGAAATTTCTTTCCTGGTCTCCCATGTGGGTGCAGGATTCCAAGGCTTTGGTTCATCCTTTACAGCTTTCCCAGGCCACAAGCATGGAGCTGGATGGGAAGTGGGGCAGTCAAGGCACAGACAGGCTCCCAGATAAGAACCAGAGCTTGCAAGGCAAGGATACAGCCATTGAGCATCACACCTGGCTCGCTTTTACCTTTAAAAGAAACTCAAATATGGAACATAGTGCACATGCGCATACATGTGCACACGTTTAAATTTTTCTAAACTGAGACTTAAAATCTGTGTCTATTATCCAAAGTGATATTTCAAGGCATTGTATTTAACTCATTCACCTGACACGTTTATGGAGATATATTTTGCATTCTTACAAAGACTTCATTCAGTTGCAATAGAGAACAAAATAATCAATATTCTTGTCTTCTTTCAGTTTTCATTCAGTTCATTCAATTTGTTTTCCCGGTATCCCTTCATGATACAAATCTAGTAAAATCGTTATCCTGGATGCATCCAATTCTGTGTTTCCCACATATGTGTCACCAGCAATTTGTAAAATACAGTCATGCTTGTGTCTCTTATTATTAGTCACTGGTTATTAGTCAATTGCACATGTCAACATGTGCAATTGTTTGTTATTTTCATTGATATTACAAACATTTGTCGCTCTCTTTACTCTTCCACTTCCCTAGATGATTCTCAATATTTACCCAACCTTTCTCCCTTCCTAGAAGCGCCTACAGTCCAACTTTTGTCTCAACAGATTTCTGTTTCTATTTCACAAAGAAAATAATGAAAGGCAGAAGGCAACTTGAATAAATTCTTACAATGAAAATCATCACGTTAGCTAAATATTTGAATTGTGCCCCAAGTCCCCTCCATCAGGTATTAGTTCCATTTTAAAGACAGATAAAACTTTCCCTTGCTGCCCTGATTCCAAGAGTTAACAAAAATGTGAGTCAAATATTCCTGAGGGATCATGAGTTCTGTAGACCACTGCTCCTGGATGTCGATTTCAAGAGCATATTTTATTTCTCTTACAGTTAGATGAAATTAGGATTTGACATATGGACAAGAAGGTGCACAGTCTTCAAGAGCTGCCTGGAAAATGTTACCGTGACCTATTCATGAATTTCAATTTTTGTACCAAAATAATTTATTTTAAAGCCCATTTCTGATAAGTTTTTAAAATATCTTCTTAGTAAGGTCAGTAATAAAGATTCAATCCTTATAACCTGCTTCATTAAAAACTCTTATTTAGGGCCCGGCGCGGTGGCACAAGTGGTTAAAGGTCCTCGCCTTGCACGCCCAGGATTCCATATGTGCGCCGGTTCTAATCCCAGCAGCCCCGCTTCCCTTTCAGCTCCCTGCCTGTGGCCCAGCAAAGCAGTCGAGGACAGCCCAAAGCTTTGGGACCCTGCACCCGCGTGGGAGACCTGGAAGAGGCTCCTGGCTTCGGATCGGCATAGCATCGACCTTTGCGCCCACTTGGGGAGTGAATCATCAGACGGATGATCTTCCTCTCTGTCTCTCCTCTCTGTATATACACCTTTCCAATAAAAACATAATAAAAATAAATCTTAAAAAAAAAAAAAACAAAGTGTAGTTTATTGCAACACAGCCTGGCCTATTGAAGATAATCAATATGTATTTTCAAAACGTTTACATGAATTAATAAATGAATGTATGGGTTATAGTAGGGCAGGAATTGTCCAGAAAAGAGTCCCACATCCTTTTCCTCTGCAGTAGCTACCTTATGTGAAAACTGGCTCTCTTGCATATCTAAGTTAAAATCTTGATGAGAAAGAGTGTCCAAGATTAACCAAATGGGCCACACATACAATCACATGCGTTCTTGACACAGGGAACAGAGCACGTGGCCAGATCGAAAGAGAAAATGAGACAATGCAGTGGTAGAAGCAAACACCATCCTGATGTGTCCCAAGCTAAGAGATGCACGCAGCCCCAGAAACCACGGAAGATAAGGGATGGATTCCTTATCATCCCCATGTAGTAATAGAACCCGTGAGTTTGGTCTAAGGCTTTTGCTTTGCGATTATGTTCAGGATTCCAGAATTTTGAGATGATAAATCCCTGTTGTGGTTTCTAAGTTTTTGGCAATTCATTAAAGAGGGAACTGGGAAAAAAAAATACATGAGGTAAATTGAGTCAAAATCAATCCAATTATGCGAAGATGCTCAAAATGATTAAACAAAACCTGTTTCTTGAAAAGAATTACTACTAAACCTAAATCCCACAGGAGAAACCATATTTTACCATTCCTTCAGTAATTATTAATTTGGGGTAAGTACTGCATAATTTACTGCTTTTCACTTCAAGGAATAAATTGATTATCTGTAAGGAAATTTTTGCTTCTTTGATTTATTAACTAGTTCATGAAATAATGTGTCCCATATTAGATATGAGAATAAGTCTAATATTCACAAACATATTGCAGCAAATTCCTGAACAGAATTGTTTGTAATCATAATTGCTATTGAAAACTCAGAAATACGTAATTTTTCAAGGTGGCAGCCAAACATGTTAGAAATATTTTCTTCTTGAACATAATGGGAAACAAGGGCGGAATTTCCCTTGTCTCTCATCAGAGGATGTGGTCAAGTTCATGTTCACTTGCAACGTCTGGAATGGCAGGCTGCCTTTTTTGGAAATATGGACTTGTACTTGGCTGAATGATCAGACCCAGAAGAGTAGACACATGGCAACACCCAGCACATAAGTAGTATCACTGAGCTGCTGAACCAACCACGGAGTACTTTGTGTTCTCAGATGCAACAAATATCCATTCTAGGTTGTGTGTGTCTAGTTACTTGAATTGAAAATCTCTCTGCAAAGGCAATGAAGATGAAACTAATGTTATTTATATTGGTTACTTCTAAGTAGCATATTCATGTAATGAGAACAGAAAATATATAATTATTATATAATATATATAATTTATATATAAATATATAATATATAATTAGTCATATTTGGCAATGAATCATTGCCTTATTAAATCTACTGTAGAATCCAAGGAAATGAAATGGGAACTGAGACATGGAAGTCTCTTTCAGTCATTTGGGACTGTTCCACCACAGATGCAATCAATTAGTTCAGCCATGACAGAGATGTCAATGGCTGTCTTCATTGAGCACTGGCAGTAACATTTCTATGATACAAAAAAATGGACACATGGCAGAGGAATCTTTGCAAAGAGAAAAATGTATTCCTGGTTAACTTAGGCATTTTTCAGGTCAGAAACAGAATCAACCCTTATATCTTGCAATTCATAAA